TTATTAATTATATATTAATAAAATCTCTAGGTTTTTAGCTTTATTTTGATATATTTTTTATTAATTTCTATGCAGTAATTTTTAAGTAATGAATAAATAAAAAATTCCAAAATTTTTTGTACCACATTGTATATAAAATAACTTATTAAGATTGACCAAATATAATATAAGATTAGTTTTTATTATATAATTTATTATTATCCTTGGATTTTTTTAATAATATTACTTATTGTTTTAGAAGTTTTATATACAATAGGCAGTATTAACTTAAATAGATATTTGATATACTGACTAGATTTTTAATTAATTAATAAAGTCATGTATTTTATGCTTGTTTACAATAAAAAAATAATTATAAAATTTTTTTAAAAAACATTTTGTATAAAACTGCATAATCATTTAATATTATTATATAAATAATTGTTATAAGCAGATTAGCATTTAGCTTATTATATACTTTGTATTTAAAAATATTATTTTTTTTACAAGTATATATCTTGTTACATATGAATAAATAAAGAAATAATTTAAAATGTATTAAATATAATTGATTAATAACAAATTTTGATGATTTTTCTAAATCGAATTTTTATCAAATAGAGCAATATTTTTATTTTTAAAATTGTATTTGGGAAGAGACCATATTTAAATACTTCAATAAAATTTAGGATTATGCTTTTTAATAAATTGTTGATATTAGTTTAATAATAAGTTCAATATATATACTGCATATATAATATTTTTCGATACAGTCTTAAAGATAAAAAAAAATTATCTCATCCTTTATAAGCAGAGTTAAGATTATAGTCTGCATTTCATTATTGCAATTTAATTATTGATAATTTCTTAATTAATTATAATTAAAAATTAACTTGTATTTATAATATGTAATAGAACTTTGTATTTACTGTATATATAATGTTGGCCCGCGATCAAATTAGTGGTTACTTTATTTCGAAGGATTTGCTCTCATGTTAGCCAGCATCGAAAGTATTTGAGTTTTAATTTTAAATTTTTTAGATATCGAGCGTAATGCTAAAGTCGGAGTATTAATGCTTGTAAAAGACAGTTTTTTACTTGCTAATTTAATAAGATTTGGTTGTAAGCAAAAATCTGCTAGAAAAAAGGGAACATTAAGGTCATCTTCTAGCCAGACAAAAGAATCTATTAGAAATATTTGCATCAATCTTTTTCTTTCAGTAAGGTAGGAAAATCGTCTACGAAAGTCGCCGTATGAACAAACCAGGAAATTGTGAAAAACGTGACACGGGCGAACAACTTTTTAAGGTCATTCTATTTCATCAAGCAATATCCTGGCGTTACGTGTATATTGATCTTTTTTCCCACCTTCCGGAAATCTACACAAATATTTTGGCCAAGTAATATCTTCTAACATAGACTCGCCATTATTGTCGTTATAATCGGATTTATTTTCAAAAACCAATAAGGTATAATCTTCAACTAAACCTCTGAGGACAAGCCAAGTAGTATTGGCATCTCTATGCGCTAATTCTCTGAATAATTCTAGAGCTATTTTTTGAAGATCCTCGTGAACCTCATCACTCAAAAATGGCCACATTGTATCAATAATTTGCGAAATCACTTGATTGGATAGCAGAACGCGATGTACTACCACTTTCATTGTCTCCAAAATCGCTTTTTTTATTCTATGTGATCGTGAAAATTCGTAATTCATTAAATCTGAATATTCTTTATCGTTTGTTGCTTGCTGTAAGAGCAAGTCTTGAAAAGATGGCCACACATCCTGAACTACTCGACTGGTGAAAAAATCTCCACATGAAATGGCAATACCCTGTATAAGTCGCGCTGCACCTAAAACCACAAACTGTTCCTCATCCTTCAACCTGTTAACTACAGAAGGCCATATCCTATGAACCAAGGGATAGAGTTCATTGGAAATAGGCTGTAGTACAGGTAGGGCAGTGCGTATTATATCCAACACCAGAAAACGCAATTGTGGAGATGCAGATGTAAGAGAATGGAGAACTTTGTCAATTATTTTGAGACAAATTGATTGTGATCGTGTCGGTTTGGCCTTTTTATCGGATGTTTCTTCATTAGGATAAATAGTTTCGGGGTCAGCTTCATGCTCAGGAATATCATCGACCTCTGCCTTTTCTTTCGATTTATGAATGTTCAGAAAATACTGTCCTATTTCTTCTAATGTCGCATATTCTTTTGGCAAATTGGTTTGTGTGTCCTGTAGAGAATAACTTTCAATGAATTCAGAAATCTCTTTAGACATTCCAGCAGTGACCTGCTTAGGTGGATTCACACAATTGTCTTCCTCGATAACAATATTTTCATTAGAATGGTTTTCATCATGCTCCTTTTCGTGAGGCTCGGCGATGGCACTGATTACAGCAAATAAAACAATTGTCAACTGGCATAATAAATGAAATTTCATATGGTGAGTGTCTAACGCGTCAAATATTTCTTCTATCGAATCATCTAAATAAGGAATCACGGGGTGTCCAACTACGCGGATCATTGCCGTGAGTACTTGCGGAGTTTGAGGGTTTGGGGTGATATGATTCAATTTTCTAGAAACAGTGTTAATAAGATAATCAATATTTTCAAGCACCAATGCTTTTTTTGACGAATAGCCGCAGCATACTGAAACATGATGAAGCGCAGTATCTGCAGTGTTGTGTATCCGACTATTAGTTTCGCCCATTTTTTCAAGAATGGGATATAGAGCATCTGTCAATTCTACCTTAAATTCCACGGTCATTACACGAGATATGTGTGCAATTCCTTCCAGTGTAAAGCATTTAATTAAAATAGATCGATTTTGTGATTCAATATTTTCCATTCTTGTCGATTTTCCAGTATATTCGTTGATCAGATTCGGTTCCACTCTTTTACCCTTATTTGATTTAACCAAAGATTTTGACTCGAACTCCTCTACACGTTCACATGCGGAATCCGTTTCCATATATTCCCTTAATAATGATCTTGCGATTCTTTTAACCTCGTTCGCGGAATTAGTAGGGTTTACCATCTCCAAATATTCAAAATTGAGATTTATTCCGGATGCCCCTAGCAATATTTCATTTACGATGAAGATGCATTGTGCATGAAATTTTTTGGAATCAGGATCCCGCAAGTATGTGAGAAAATGTTCAATCAAGAATTCGATCTTTCCAAAGTATCCAATTAAACGAACAACCGTCGATATAGTAGATGTTACACGTCGCTCGCGTATGTGTTTATATTTAACTTGAGGGAATGGTGGAAGCAAACGGTCAGATGCATGGAAATTTTCCAGGACAAGATGATCATTCGCGAGATCTTCATACTGTCCGATGAGAAGCTGATCTTCCACGATACGAACATCCCCGGTGTCGAATTCCAGAGCATTTAGCAATCCATCAGAAACTTTATGCAATAAATTGTTCAAGACTGTTTGTACATCCGATCCCAATAGAAAGATAAAGCCAGCGATTAATGTTAATGCATTGTATTTTGCATTTTCATCGAGACCGACCAAGTACCTTGGTAAGGATGTGAGCCAAGAACTTAAACCTTCTTTTAAGTTTGGTGTCAAAATTTCACTGAAATTTGGATGCACACGCAATTCCTTCAAATACTTTTTACATGGTATTGAAACTTGTTCGTAATCATCATTCAGGTAGAATACTAGGGTTTCAATTAATAATGGTGTACAGTTGTCCAATGAATTGATACAATGAGAAAGTAGTTTGTATGTAAATTCTACGAATGCTAGTCGAAGCTGCCATGAATAATGATTGCGAATTGTAAATATTTGTCCAATTAGAATTTTAATTTGCATTTTGGTTGCCCTAAGCCACGATTTTGTTCTTTCCACATAAATAGTTGCTGGTGTCATGGGCGGAGGTGCAGACAAGGATGCTTGTAAAGTGCTCCTTGTTTCAAATGATGAGAGACTGCTATTATTGTGAAAACTATCCGAACTCATCAAGACATCTTTTAAATCGTTCAAGGAGTCTGATTTATAAAACAGACCTTCGTTTACTTTGTCGTTCATGACAGTGTAAACAATAGTGGCTAAGGACTCAACTATTTTTACCAAAAGCATGTGGTTTTCTTTTTGATCCCTGATTATAACCTTACTCAACGTGCTTAATACTCCAGGCAAAAACGCTGCCACAATTCCTGGATCGTCAATGCACACGGTCAGTTGTTGTAACGTCTCTATAGACGCTATCCTCAGTTGAAGGAAGCGTTCGTTTGAAATAATCTCGAGCAACACATACACGCAACGACCTACGACCGCTCTTAGTTTCGTGTCGCGAAGTTCTATTAAAAGTAATTCGCGACGTATTGGTAACTGAAAATTGTTGATATCATTTGTTTCATCGTATTCCAATTGTCGTGGTAATAGAGCAAGAATACATCTAACTCCAACAAGTTTTGTTTCTTCCGAAATGGAGAATTTTGAATTAGTCTGATCTCCTTTGGTGTCTTTTGATCCAGAAGAAAACGAGCCTCCAATGATGCTAACAAGTAAAATTAATAGCTGCTTGAATTGATCTGGCATCATGTAGTTATGCCAGCTTGTGGACAATAAAAACTGAATACAGTTTAGAAATCCCTCAAGAAACCTATCGCTCTCTCTTAGAGCCGGATTGTTGTAAAGATTCGACAAAGGGAAAAAAACATACTTGATTAAATTAAAGTCGAGGACCTTGGAGGCTTCGGGTATGGCTTCAAGGGTTGAATGCAAACTGTTAATGGTTTGAATGATATCTTGAACTTTTTCGTGAGAGGTTATAATGGAGGTCATGAGAGAGACACATAAAGGTCTTAGCTAATGTGTATTCCATTAAGTATTAAATTGCTATTATTCATTTTTGTCTCCAAAGTTGAATAATAGAATATTAAAAAAAATCCAACCTGGAGGAAAGCAGCTTGACGTTGCTCGTCAAGGTCGCTCTCTATGGCATTGATAGAAGACATCTAGGTTATTAATTATAGTATTTTTTGAGTTCACTATTTATGTTTTTTATTGTATGACAAGCACCTGACCAGATTCTGGGAAACGCGTGACACCGAAATGCGAATATAAGAAACGCGACCGATTTTCGGCGTTCGAGCTCTTCTTGTAAAGTGGACGCGTATAGCATACACCGTTTATCAGCAGTTTACTGATAGAACTCATATTTTCCACACAAGTTTTTTAGCAACAATTTTTTTTACATAATTATTGCGAGTAGTTAAAAAAATGGCACCAACGAAATCACTTGAAAACTCGTTGTTTCATACCATTATTCTTGAAGCAGGATTGAAGTTGGAAGGTTCTGCGGGAGTTCATGAGCTGGGTAGGTTTTCGTGCACTACTGGTGTGACCAGAAAACGCGCCAAGTTTCGTGACACGTGATTATAATAAACATTATTCCTTCTCACTGTGCCATTTTTTTCGACAAGGCAGTGGTTGAACCTTCAACGTTTCATCTTAATCTTATACAAAAATTGAAAAATCACCCGCAATATCCGGATCCCGCGATTGGAACATTTTTGGACGAGTTACAAGAATATCTTGACACAGGTTCAGAAAAATTTAAAGCATGCCTGCAACCGCCCTCCGTGAAAGGAAAGTCTATTTAGTAAGTCAACAATTCAAGACTTAAAATATTAATGAATTGTAAATATTTAAACTATTTGCTAAATCGTTCTATAGTGGTTCTACGGCAGATAGTCTCATCCGTGTTCTATTGAGCATTGATTTTTTTCAAGCGAATCTAATCGACCAATTACTAGAAAGGTTACCGACATTCATATCGGACACCGATAATGATATAATCGAATCACCCATTCCACGATTGATACTTCAACAATTGAAATGGTTAGATAACATTGTAGACTCAAGGAGACTAACAGAAAAGATATTGGAGGTGAACTGTGATTGATTTTTTTTTGTTTATTTTCACTTGCCACAACTGAATTTCGATTTTACTTGTTCAGATGATTCCAATTACACCATTAGGCATTCAAAGGGAGATTATAACTAGTCTTCCAGATATCATCCTTGACTCAGAACAGAAGGTACGGAGAAATTTGACAAATATTATATGCTCTCACGTTTAATTCAAGTTTTCGTTGTGGTTAACCAAAGTCTTTTAAATCGCAGACCGTTATCAAGGAATTGACGGAGCTGATAGATCAGAATCACCGACTCATTGTTCCAATTCTTGATGCGCTTCCACATTTTACGTTACATGAGGATTTGATGACTAATGTTAAGTCAACAGTATATGGACGACTTGAATCGGCTGACTTGGATGATCTTGCAATAATTGTCAAGTTCTTATTGCACACGGCTTCTCCCATTGACGCAGAAATGGTATAATAATTGATATCGATTCCTACATGTTTTTGCAGTTGAATGATTATTTTTATAATTTAAATAATCTTTTCAGGTGATACGGCAAATTAGAGATAAAGTTGATTTTCATTCAATTGGAAAACTTCAAAGTGAACAAAGCACTTCAAAACGCCGCCAAAAAAGGAGAAAAGAATTGATGCCAGAAGCACTAATACTAGATTCCATAAAAAAGGGATTGAATATTCACAAATTTGTCATGAACGCGTGGCTTAAGGAAATAAGTGACATTGAAACCGAGGTAATGTTGTACATAAGAGTATCCGAATTCTAATAATTCCACGATTTGACAAATATTCTATGCTATCTACAGAGAAATCATAAAATCATAGATATCTTGATATTGTTTCTTCTGCATTCAATGCCAAGCATTAAGAAAAAAGTTGAAGCAATTTTTTGCAAAAAGATTTCGAGTGGACTTTTTTCAAAGAATTTATTAGAAACAACGATAACTTTTCACTTTGAAGGCTTGAGGGATTATTTTAACGACATACTCACGCTCTCGGAAAGTCTCCTTCGTTCAAGTCAACAGCAAAACACTGTTGCGCGTGCAGCATGTACATTATACCGAAGCGCATTTATGGTATTCGAACCACATCAGCAACAGGAAGTTATTGCATCCCTAGTATCTCACATAGGAAGTGGTTCACCTACCGAAATTGAATCAACTCTTTCGGTGTTGTCGCACCTTGTAGATAAGGATATCAAGAGATTGAGTCGATTTTCCATCTTTGTAAAAGGTCTTCTGGATTATTTGGAAAATCTCAATTTAGATCAGATACGAATCCTTTTTGACGTAATCGGAAAATTGGCCTACGAGGTTGTTATTATGTTATTCAATGTGATTGAAAGAAATTTTTCCTAACTTAATTTACTGCGCGTAGGATGCAAATTATGATAGTAATACTGGTGGACTACTTGCTGAGTTCTCAATTGTTATTCAAAAACAATTATCAAACCCCAATGAGAAATATAAGCAAATTGGTGTTATCGGAGCTCTTGCTTTGGTGCGAATCTTGGGCTCAAAGTCGACTGCAAATATTTCAGAAGGTATGCAAAGTTGCAGTTAATAATATAATCTGTATATTTTGATTTAATCTCAATATATTTTTTAAATTGAAAAAAAATATTTTTTTTTTTAATGCAAATAGGCTCCGCTAACAAGATCTCGGAAAAATTTCTGGATATTGCAAAAGAAAATATCACAAAGATTGAGCGTCATTGTGCGCGATCAATGGTATTTTCAATTTTACAGTAATCATATTATCATATTATTTTCTTTTTCTTAATAAAACAAATTATTTATTTGGTTGAACTCTTACATTAAAAAAACAAAAAGTCGTGCCTCGCTTTTGCATACGACGAACTTTCGTGTTATATTTCCTCCGGAATTCTAGATTGTGAATTGGTAGATTGGATTTCAGATAAGATAGAAACATCATTTTCTGATATCTTTATAGTGGATGAAGAAGACGTGGCCAAGCTTAAAGAAGACGAGTATCATTTGAAGGGAATACCGATAGAAACGTGGATGGAATGTGAAATGGATTGTGATGTGAGAATCAATTTCTCGTTACTTAATATCGTCATAAAAACAAACAAATGGTTGTTTAATTATTAAATATTCCATATTGGCAAATTAGAATGAAGAAAAACCGAAGGTCAACATATATCCCATGTTATGCGAAACATATGTTCCTGCAAATTTGCGTACGCAGCATTCTATAAAACGGGATAACATCATATGTTGTTGTTCTATGTTGAAATTGATGCAAGCTAGTCTGAAATTTAAGGAAGATGGCAATTTATATTCCATCGGTGTTTTGTTGGCTGCAGGAATACTCATGTATGAAAGTGTGGACGCAAATGTAAGACTCAGGAATTGTACATTTATTATTCATCTGCGCATCTGCCTCATTTATTTTATTTATATAGGACATGAAATCTGGTGATTATTCAAGAGAGGCACGCGAAACGGTCTGCAATGCATTATTTTATTCAATCAATTGGTATGATAATATATATATAAGGTTTGAAAGTAAAGAGAACGTTTACTTTTCGTCAATTAAACAATTGCTATTGGTAGGTGCCGTGAAACCGTCAGCGACTTTTGGGGTCAAGATAAAGATATCTGTAGTAAGCATCAATTTTACATACGTAGTTTTCATATCGTTGTCTAATTTTTTATTGATTTCTAGAAAATGTTGTTATAAGATTGAGACACATTATTGAACTTGAGAAAAGGTTGAATGCAATGTTAGAAATTACTCCTACTTTTCAACCATATGGATTCTTTATGCCTTCACCGTCAAAGAATATAAAGTTAAGAAATACTACTACTTTACCATCAGGATCTGCGCAGAGGAATCTCATTAAGACAGGCAGGACAGTCCGAAGGTCGGGAATCAGCAAAAGTAAGGTTCTTAGCACTCGCAGAGTTATTGAGACAGAAAAGAATGAAGAAAATAAGGTTTCCGAAGATTATAATTCTATGACCCCCAATTATACGTCAGTTGAAGACTTAAGGCTATTAATGCGTGAATTCGATTTGTCAGTGTTTGGCATGCTTGAATATTTCAATTTTAAGAAGCCTTCGTGTGACAAGGAAGATGATCATGTGATGAACGCGGATGACTCCTTCTATTTGTTTCCCGAAGAGATTGTTTATCTTCTTAATGACCTTAATCGTAAGCTCGAATTCAAGATATCTCCGCCCGTCACACCCTTAATTGCTAAAAAGGTCAAAAAAGGAGCATTTGGAAACAAACACGACGGATTCACCTTAATTTCTCGTATGAAATCCTCGGATGTCGTAATGCAGGTTGCTACAGAATTTATTCCACATCTGTTGAATCAATTGAATTCTATCTGTGAGGAATTAAGTACCGATAATGATGAAGTAATGGAAGAAGCTGAATACGAGACTTCACTTCGATGCTTGGAGCTAATACTTGTGATTATTCATCGACTGATAAATTGGTCCGAACTAAAATCACCTGATCATAAGGAAATTCTGATTGTTGTCATGAAACAACTGGGCTCGTCGGTTCAACAGCCTCCAAATTCCATAACTACGCCAGGCAATCTCGACGTTCTACAGCAATATACCAACGATGCATTCAAATACTTTCAAGATTTCGCGTCTCGTCTTCCAACAGCCAGTCTGGCTATATTGTTCCACAAAATCCTTATCAAAATTACCGAGCTTTCTCCGGATCCAAGTAAACTTGCTGTGATGTCCGGAGAAATTGCACGGGGATTTGCATCTCGCCAATGGAGTGATGTCAAAAAATTGAATTCAGACTCCGTGATTTACCTTGTGCAAAAAGATATTAGACACTCCCCAAATCCAATGGAGAGAATCACATCCTATGTAACTGACATTATTTCTCCAGACGAGAACCAAACTGTCGATCTTAATGAATCGTATCCTTTATTCAATAACGAGACTCTACCGTATTTTTACAAAGCCTTGTTTATGGAACTTGTTGAAATTTTACGATATTTCCATCCTGGGAATTTCGAAAGTAATGCGGACATAATGTCACACATAACTAAAACGGTTGTCTGTTTTCAGAATTTTGTGCTATTCATCAAGATTAAGCATAAGCGAGCCATTCTATCCGTAGCCTTAAAATACGGACGTAATTTTATTGACCTGTTCCTTAAAAAAATGCTACCACTAATGGATAAAAATTTCTCCACTTACCGTGAAGAAATTATTTCTATCATTGGAACCTTTCAAAAATCGACACGGCGTCTCCAGGTAGCGATTGTGTATTACTAATAAACAACATTAACGACCGATTCATCAAGCATGTCTTTTTCTAGGCGTTATGTAATCACGTGAAAGGTCACAAAGAGTCACAACTCGCAGCGATGGTACCTCTTGTTAAGAGGTCATTAGAAATTGTTATATTTCAAGTTAAGGCCATGATTCAAAATAATGGATGCCCGCCAGAAATGTTCTTCTTAGGTGAACTTAAACATCGTGATATTGAAGGACAAGAAATCACTTCATATCAAAACGAGGAGGTTAATTCTGGGTCGGATGACGACGAAGATGACGATGGCGATGATAATGATGTTGAACAGATGGATGAAGAAGAGGATGAAAAGGATACAGATGATAACGACAACGACAACAACGATGTGAAGCCACACTCCCGTCGCAAAAAATCAAGTTCAAAAAGGAACAGGGAAACAGCAGACGCTAATGAGACGGAAGACGACGAGAATGACGATACGCCTGCTGCGCATCATAATAATTTAAGCACAGAAAAAGAATTTGATACTGAAGAAAATGAGGAAGGTGACGTTCCTGTAAAACCGTCCGTCTCACTTAGTAAAAAATCAAGCACGAGAAAAAGGAAGTCCAAGACCCCAGATGAATCCGAAGATGGCGAAGGCGACGACGATGCAATTCCCGTTAAAGCATCCATTAGAAGCCGCAAAAAATCATGCCCAAAGAAAGGTAATACTGTGGCGCCGGGGAATGCCAAAGAAAGCGTAAGTATGGTCACGGGGGTCTCTGCTAAACTATCAACTACACGTAGAAAATTAAATCAAAGGAAGGATAAAAAAACCGAAAAAGCAGAGGATGAGGATATGGAATTAGATGACGGTGGAATGGATGAGGAGGTGGAAATTGAAGGAAGGGAAAAAAGTGACCGTAAAAGGCGCAACATATATATTCTTGATGAAGCGGATGAGGAAGAAGATGAAGAAGAAGAGGAAGATGAAGAAGATGATGACGATGATAATGGTAACGATGATAGTGATGAAAAATCCGAGAACTCTTCGAACTCTAATATGAGATCCCGAGTGTCCCCATCGATATCTTCCGTTTCATCAGCGCCAAAACAGTTGTACAAGCGCAACATAAAAAAACGTGCACGATGAAAGAATTCGCTAATATATACATTCTAATGTAAAAAAAAATTTCCTTTTATTTTACCTGCGAAAAATATTCATTAACATTAATAAAGTGCATTCACGTTACATATTTCGTATCCAAATGTGACATTAATAAATGCGCTTATGACATTCTAGTCGTGGCCATAATGAACATTACGCATCAAATATTTATTGTTTTAATATATACTACTTTTCTGTACATATTTATAAAAAAAAATTTTTTTTTCTTTTTTTTTTTTTTCTTAATGATTCGATGAGTTGTGGAGATGGTTTTTGAATATTTTTGCAATAAAAACTAACTACAATGTTAAAAAAAATAATGCTGATTAAGGAAATTCGAGATAGAATTAGTCTGAATTATGTATAAACTCTTCAGTCGCCATTAGCAAGAAGAAAAAAAGCAAAGCGCGATTCCTCAATCACACATATGCACTCTGTCACGTGATAAATTTTCTCACGAGTGAGTGTCCATATCCAAATCACCCCAAATTCTGTTATTAACCTTTGGTTCTGGATCCGAATCGTCTGTCATTACCGGCTTTAAATCAACAGTGGCAATTGAATTTTGAAGAGAATTTTTTCTCATGATGAGGTTTTGACGTTTACGTTCTTTGGAAGCCATGGCTTCAGCATCCATCCTTGCAAAATCATCTTCGCTAATATTTCCCTTGATAACGTTAAGTCGCAGTTCAGGATTTTTGCTATCTTTTAAATTCCAAACCTTACTTCGAGCAGTATCTTTATATTGTTTGTTTACTTGAAAGTTACAATCATGGTAGACACATTGTTCGATTCGTCGTGCCTTTTCAACCAATTCAGCTTCATCACCTTCGCTGAAGGATGTCGAGTTTCCCAGGAGGGCCTGATGAAGCATTTTGATAACATTATCACGGATTTTGTCACCGGTGGCAACTTGAACTGGCATATTGTGTAACTATGACACGTGATATAAAATTTCCACAGATCTTCGAGTGGATCAAAATTCCAATTAAAAAATAAATAAAAAAAAAATCAAAGAGAACCCAAGAATTCCTCTAAAACAAGCTGAATTTCCGTATAATAAGATTTATACTCAGAAGTGATGATGTATTTTGATTTATTTTCAAGCAAACTGATATAAGCGCTAAGAACTCTTTGCAGAGAAAGTAAATTTCGAGACCTATTTATAGGGTTTTCAAGATGCACAATGTGTTAATAGAAAATTATGGGATAATACGGCGTAAAACGTTTTTTTTGACTTCATGCATTAAAAATGTTCACCAATTGCCTTTTGTGGGTGATAACAACGTCGCCCGAATTACCAGCTGACCCCGGTACTTGACTAGTTCTTTTTAGGTTTATCATTGTTGACACAATCGCAGTTTCACGTGATTTATTTGGATGATTTTTTTAATAACTTACATGCAATTACGCAACATATTTATTAAATATGCATGTACGATACGATCCAAAACTAATGCGAGGTTACAGAACAAAAACGCTAAAATTTTACCTGATGAATTTATATTATCACCTATTTTGACACACCAAACTGGATTGGTGTGTCTTTGTAAAAACCAGTCATATTTACGCATGATCAATAAGGACTTTTTGTTTCCAAGTAAGAACGCATATATTCTCATAATTAAGACGTACCAATACTTCAGAGGTAAGGTCCCAAACTAGATTTTGTGCACGAGAAAAAAGCAATTAGTGCAAAATGAGTGATTTTCTTCAAACGGTAATTTGATCTTGTCGATTGTCCAACAAATAATCTCCTATTTTGAAATAGCAGTTTATTAGGTTTATTAGAGTAATAAGTGGCCATGCATGGCAAGGTCGGGGCTTAGTCAGAAGTATTTTATATAAACCCTGCTTTTATCACGTACCCATATTGAATTTTCACAGATCGGATCATTTTTTCTGAAAGTGATGTCGCCACTACTACGTCTTCGATTTTTGCTTTTAATATGCGTGGGAATGATTTTCTTCTACATCTTTTGGCCCGAAAACTTTCATGCGTACCAACAAAATCCTTGCCCCCAACCAACCACCGGAAAAAACTCAGCACCTGGACCTTTGGTTGATTCAACGAGATCCACCATCATAACTGATCAGTTCGGCTCGTATAAAGAATATCTTAACGCAAAAGGTTATATAACTTTTCTCAGCATATTAAAAAAACAACATCAAGCGATGGTCGCAAATCTTGTCAGAAGCGCAAATAATGCGGTCGCAAATAATAGTGTTTACTCGGTAACATTAAAACCACAATTAGCACCATCTGGCGATAAACATGATTACATGTCACTGGGTAGATACTTTTGGCCAGATCCAAAGAAACCTGATGGTTTACCATACATCCGTAAAGACGGTTATGCCAATCCTGAATTTTTTACCGTCACTGATTATGTATATTTAAGGCAAATGTTTAGGGAGGTTCAGGATCTCGGATTTGCATACTTCTTTACCCGTAACGAAACGTATGTGATCAAGGCAATGCATCGAATACGAGAATGGTTCTTGGATCCAGATACAAAAATGAATCCAAATCTGAATTACGCCGGATTCAGAAAAGGAGAAACCATGGGATGGAAAACCGGCGTTCTAGACTTCCATCAAGTATATAGGTAACTTTTGATCTACAAAAAAAAATTTTTTTTTTTTTTTAATGATTCTAAAATCTCCAACTCCTTCATTAGGATGTTACAGGCCATTCCCTTGATGAGATATTCTCACCTGTGGGATCTGAGCATTGAAGTTGGTTTAAAGGCATGGTTGACTGATTATTACAATTGGTTCACTACTTCTAAAATGGGGAGAGGAGAGGGTAAGTCAAAAAACAACCATGGTACATATTATGACGTACAAGCTTTGTTCCTACTGGATTACCTTGGTCGTCATGAAGAAGCAAAAAAATTTGCGCTTCAAGCAATAAAAAATCGCGTCGACAAAGGCATCCTCCCAACCGGCCAACAGCATCACGAGACACTGCGGCCTACCAGTTGGTTTTATTCTATTTTTAATTTGCAAGGATTATTTCTTCTCGCAGAGAGAGCTGATCATTACGATATTGATGGTTGGAATTACGTGGGACCCGAAGGTCAAAGCATTAAAAAGGCGGTCGATTTCTTGCTACCCTATGCACTCAATGACGGTGAAGGCTGGCCAGTAAAAAATATAAAAGGCTTTGAGGTGAACACATACGTTAAATTATTAGAATTGTCGTATATTATTTATGGTGACGATAAATACCTTGAAGCTGTTGAAGAACTGAGGCCAAAGGCCAAAGCGGAACAGGCAGCCGGACTTAAATTAGCTAAATGGGAGGACAATTACCTATGTGATATAGCCTTAATGTCTAATCGATTACTTTGGTCTTGTATGTAATAACTATTTAGAATGTAGTATAAAAATAATCATTAGAAATTTTCTCCTAGTTTCGTTTTTTCATAAGCGATGCGATTACCGTAGGGCAATCAACCAATTTTATACTGGTTGATTGACTCTGTGAAATATCCCACAAAATTTTAAACGGTACGAAAAAGGGTTGTTCCCCTGCGTCGTCTAGGCATGCGGTCGATCGGTCTTGGCGTAGTGCATGTATGACCACCTAGAAAAAATCGATGAAAAACCGTATGTCGGTTTTCATGCCTATTAACTTTAAATATAACTCGTTGATAAGATACAAAATTTGCTTTTTATTAATAATTTTATTAAACTAATAAAATAATTTTTTTTAACAGGTATTAAATGTAAGGCTTTTATTAAATTGCTATTTACTGTATATTAACGATTTTTACATCAAGTAAATTAATCAAAATTTGTTAAAAATGAAAGATATTATGATAAATTACATATACAGTTTGTTGCAAAAGTCTTTAGACTCTTATTTTTAGCATATAATTTAATAACTAATTAATAATACAATATATTATTTAAAGATTTAAAGATTAAAATTTTTTAAAAAAATTTTTTATTATATTAAAATTATATTTGAAAATAAAAAATACTTCAACTATTTTTTATTAACCATAAAAAAAATAATTATATAAATCAGTATTATATTTTGCTAAAGAAATTTGTTAAATAATAATTAACAATATACAGTATTATATAGTATGTAACAAAACTTTTTGAAATTATTTATTTATTTATTACTCAAAAACTATTGTATAAAAATTAATAAAAAATATATCAAAATAAAATTGAAAATTTAAAGATTTTATTAATATAAAATTAATAATTAATTTTTTCATCTTCCTTTTCAATTATTATTTCATATTTTTCTTTTATTGAATTTATAAAATTATTTAAAACCTTATTTGAAAATTTATTTCATTCTTCTAGTATAAATTATTCTAATTCCAAAATATTTTTAAATAATCTTAATTTCATATTTCTTTTAACAATAATCCAAAGATTTTCAATAGAATTTAAGTTTGAACTATTAAAAAGTCAATCTATAATTTTAGAAAAATTTTTATTAACAAATGTTTTAGTAATTTTGCTTATATATTTTGAATTATTATTATGTTAAAATAAAAATTATTTTTAAGCAATTCAATAATTTCTTATTTATATTTTTTGTAAAATATTAATATAAAATTTTGTATTTATAATTTCTTTAAAACAAAAAAAAAAAGTTTTTTCTTTTATACAAAATCTTCTTCAAACAAAAATTTTAATATAATTTTTAAATATTCTTCTAATTGGTTTTGCATTTTTATATTATTAAATAATTGTATTTTTAAATAATTAAAATACTGTTTTATTAAAAAATAATCAAAAATTTTTTTTACTCAAATAATACAAATTTTTTTATAAGTAATAGTAAATATAAGAGTTTTCAAAAATAAATCATTTTTATAATCCAAGCTTGTTAAATATCTTTTAAATACAATAATCAATTCAAACTATCTTTCAATTATTTGAAAAAAAAAAACAAAATATTCAATAAATAAAATATAAAAAATATAATCTTAAAACAACTATTTATATAAATAACTATTAATATATAGTCAAATCTTGTTATATCAAACTTTATTATATTAAAAGACTAAATAAAAACTTGCTATTTTGAAGATAAATATAGAAATATTATAACAAATTTAATCTGTTATATCAGATTTACTAATTGAACCTCATTATATTAAATTTCTTAAAATTTTTGCCCTATAATCCCAATCTATTCATTATAACAAGATTTGATTATAATTCTTATAAAAACAAAAAATATTAAAATATTTTTATATAATATAAAAACAAATAATTTTTCTCTCAATTTTTTTTTATTGACTTTTAAAACTTAAATACAAAAATTAATAACTGGTTCTCTATAAATAAATAAAAATTCAATATATATCAAATATATATTGCTTAACAATTATAAAAACTATAATATAAATTCTTTAACTCAATCACTAATTAAAAAACTGAATATGGCAAATATTGTTTCAAAAGAATTATCAAATTAAAAACTGTTCCTATCAAAAAAACATTAAACAAAAAAATTAATACTCTTTTAATTAGCTTAATACAATTTGAATCTCTTATTTTTCTTAGATACAGTATAGAAAACAACAGTTCTATTATTATTTTTTTTTTTAGTTTTTTTAAAGAAGCAAATAAGACAGCTAATATTATATTACAAGATAATATTATTATTTATTTTATAGTTGCAAAATTGATTAATACAAATGATATCAAATATAAGACAGTATATATATAAGGCTTCAAAAAATATTGAACTAATATTGAATTGATATTGAAATAGTGCTGATTTATAGTAAATTTAATATATAGATTATAATCTGCTTATATGAATTTATAATAAATTTAAATATCAAATTGGTATTGAAGTAGTATTAAAGTAGTATTATTAGAAGTCATATATATATATAATATTTTTTTAAATATTATATCTGAAATACAAATAGTCTTCTTTAAATATAAAAAATCAATAACATGAAATTTAATATAAAAGAAATATAATAATTTGATATTATTGAATTTATTAACAAGAAAAATTATAATGAAACTATACAATATTAATTTATTTTTTTTAAAACAGATTTAATAAAGACTTTTTTTATTTAAAAATTAATTAAATCAAACAATATAGAAATTAATATATATTAAAACCAATTTATCTTTTATTAGAAATGATAAGCTATAATCTAAAAGAAATTTTTAAAAATATAAGAGCAAAAATATATTATATTTCTTATAATTACAATTATTTAAAAAAAAGATTCATTATTTTCAATTTCAAAAATTCTGAAACAAAAAAGAAGCAAAACAATTAATAATTATTTTGAATAATATCCAATTTTAATAAATAAAGCTTATTGATAAAATTTGTCTTATTTGTTTTAATCATAAATATTTAATAACAAAATATCTAATTAAACAAAAAACAATTAAAAAAAAAACAACAATTCAAAAACTAGTTAAATTATTTGACAACTTATATCAAAAATATAAATCAGCAAGTATAATAAACATTTATAAAATATTCTTATATAACAATTAACCAATTTATATACAAATAATAAAAATACTTAAGTATTATAGTTTAAAAACTCTATTAGTTAACAATATCAAATTACTTCTCTCTGATGACTTTTATTTAATAATCTTAACTGCAATTAATAATTTAATCTAAGAACTTAACTTCATCAAACAAATAATTAACAAAATAAACAAAAGAATTAAATATTTTAAAGACTTTACTTATTATCATATTATTAAATATAATTTGATAAGTAATCAGCAAAATAAAAATAATAAAACAATCAAATTAAACTTTTACATATCAATTTTTTCAACTTAGCAAAAATTTAAACACTCTTTTGATTATTAATATAAAAAATAAACAATTAATTCTTCTAATAATATTAAACAATCTAAGTTAATATTAATAGTAATATTTTATATCTCAAATTTTATAAAAAGAAATAATCATAAAAAAAAAACTCTTTTTACTAAAACATCAAAATTTCTAAAAAATTTCTTTTTAGAAAATTCAAGAAAAAGACCAAAATACACAAAACTTTCAAGAAGTTAGAAAATACCCAAAAAAATAAACAATCCTCATTTCTAAACAATAAGATAAATAACATTTGTTTCAAAACTAATTAGTTTTTATTTATATAATTCTTTTAAAAAAAATAAGCAAAAGTTTACAAAAAATAAAAAAAAAATAAAGTGAATAATTCACAATAAGATCAGGAGAAAGAAAACTCAACATCAATCTTATAAAGCTGTCAGCCAGTCATATACCAAATAGATACTTCTTTAAACACCAATAGGATCTTGTATTAGCCAGATCACATCTGGTAAATCAAATAATTTGAAATATCAATATAAAATTAAAAGAATATTAAAGTTTTCTTTTAAATCTTGGATAAAGAAAAAAAAACAAAACAAACATATATATCTATTATTTTTTCAAATTTCATATATTATAAACAAACTTTATTAATTTTTAAAAAAACCAAAATCAGTTTGCTCCCTTCAAAAGATTGGCAGTAATATAAACATGTTTTTTTTTTTTTTCAAGTAGGTAAACATCATTACTTTATTAATTGTAAAATTGTTTAAAATTTATACATGGAAAAAGTAACAACATCTCTTATATAACTTGCTAAGCTAATAAGTCTAATGCTAGCTTGCCTACAGAAATTATCTAAGCAATATGAAAAATAAATATTAAAACCAATGTACATCTAAGATAGTGCTGAGCAGTTATAAATACTTACTCAGAATTATATGAGATAAAATTTAAGAAAATATAAAAGTGAAAAAAGAAAATGCTAAATGAAAGAAAAATGACAAAAAAACTAATTATAATACAAATGAAGCCTAATGTTGCTCTAATGGTTCCACCCCCCTAAAGTACTGTTGCACTTTCCAGAATGGCCAGGCTACAACTCATAGTATATAACAGTATTGATGACATGTCCTTTTGATAACTGTTTCTTGAGTCATTGTTAATAGTGGTGGTGATATAGTTTTTTATGTTTAGATATTTGGTAATGATCAGAAAAAAAGTGAAAAAAAACTGATTATTATACAAAGGATGCCTTGGATTAGGCATGCCATGCTGGTTGATCCATTTAACTGAAGTAGGGTGCTCTTCCAGAAATGGCCAAACTACTGTCCAAAATAAATAATAGTATTGTAGACACGTTATTTAGATCATATGTTGTTGTTGTAATTGTTAATATTTTTGTTGGTATGTTGATTGGTTTATTTTTTGGTGATGTAATCTTGTTTTGATTGATATATTGCCAAAATAGGATTTGTTTACGTCGATCATTGTGTGGTGTTTTGATTATATGGAATTGCTTTGAGATTTGGTAGTATTTGATTGGTTGGATTTGAAA